ATAATCAAAGCAAGATCGTGTAATAATTAAAACATAATCATGGACTTAATCAAATCGTAATAAATTAGTCATGATAAAGACGAAAACTCGTGCTACCAAAACTGAAAATTTAAAAAGGAGTTGGTTTCATTGCTATACTTTGTATTAAAGAGTAACCCAAAGAATAAGCGACGGCGGGGAAGTAATTATAAAAATAAAAATTAAATATTGGTTGTAAAGATAATTAAACCTTATCCGTATTACATTTAAGTTCTAGACTTTTTCTTTTATTATATGTATGAAAGATTGATTGTAATATTATGCTATGGTGTCGATGCTTACTTATGGCATAGCTTCCTTAATCCCTCTAGATTTTGAACCGTATCCATTGAGAAATCCCCATGAGTAATAAAAAGGGCTGTCGGCTTCTACTTCCGCATCTCGACTTCAATCTGCTCCAAATTGAATGTTGCATCGAAGGGAATACGAACTTTCACAGTGTTACTGTCCAAAGTGATTAATGTTTATTACGTTGTTTTATTTACCTTAATGAAATAGGTTATTGTGGGTTTATACTGTAAAGAACCTGCTCATTGTTTCATATATTAAAATATTTTTTTAAGTAGTTAAGTTTATTTATTACATGTACTTAATAATTTATTAAGAGTAATTCAAACAAAGTACCTTGTAAACTTACTACAAGATTTCTCAACCCCACTGTATTTGTTTGCTAATAGTGGTAAAATACCTGAACGATGCCAGTGATTTGCATTATTTAGTTACCTTCGGGGCAATAAAACTAAATATGAGGTTAAGAATCCCGAGGTGTCTGTTGTTGTTGTTATAATAATAATTATTTAAAATTATTAATTGGAATTTATTCAAGTCTCTATAAAAATAGTAAATATGTTTGATTTATCAACGGATTTTTTTATTTTTAATGACAAAAACATACTGATTGTTGTTTGATTTCCATGTTTGCCACCTAAATGTAGCACTAAATAAAGTTTTTACTTACATATTTGTTCATTCGCACTATCAATCAGTGCTTGTTAAATTCAGTTACTGATTCAATATATTTTAAAATGGAAATTTGCGAAATAGATTTAAAAAAATTGTCCGAAAACATTTTAACGTTTGAATTTCAATTACGTGCTTGTAAACATACTGAATAATGTGTATACCAATTGAACTAACTTTATTTTTAATTCAACTGATAAAACGTATTTATCTGTAGTCAATATAAATTAATATGTACTTTTATTCATCGTGCTGCGTTGATATAGTAGATGTACATGGGCGTCGAACACAGAAGGGAACTTTGCATTTGACCATCTCTTATGTCAATGGTAACTCACCATCATTTTAAGGGCAACATTTTATCTAAAATAAACTTACACTAACAATCTTTTTACATATTGAATAATATAAAAATAACATAAACTCTCGCTGATACGATTAATATTGTGTACCTGAAAATGCTGCTATTGGGTTCATAATTCCTTTGAATATTTGGCACTTTTCGGCACTTATTTTGATTTGTGACTGTATGTTCATTGAGTAATTCTCAATTTCATAATTACTCGTAGTAGCTTAACATTATCTGTAACAATTTTGTATTCATTTATTATATTTCATTTGTTTTATTTTTTATAATTCATTTATCTATACTAATATTATAAAGCTGAAGAGTTTGTTTGTTTGTTTGTTTGAAAGCGCTAATCTCCGAAATTACTGGTTCGAAATGAATAATTCTTTTTGTGTTGGATAGTTCAGTTATCGAGGAAGGTTTTATGCTATATAACATCACGCTACGACCAATAGGAGCAAAGATATAGTGGTAAATGTGTAAAAAACGGGAGAAATTATTTCATCTTTAAAGCCTTCCGTTGCGTGCGCCATGAAAACGGTTCAAGATACACAAAAAATATGTATTAAAGACTAATAGCTCTTTTAATGATCTAAAAAACAGTCTGCGACGGTATATGTCTATCTTTTAAGATTAACTCACAAAAACCGTTTTTATGGTACCTAATTTGGTCGAAATAATTTGTTTAAGTTGTATCAACATAATAATATTAATCTTTATTCAAATAAACAAAGAAATATGTTGTTGGTTAAGTGTACTTTATTGTGCATGAAAAAAAACAAAGGTTTTATCCTGAATATTCTGCGGGAACTCGACAATTCCGAAAACCCCGCAAGAACGGTAACTATGTGGGAAGAACCAAAAATCTGCCGGAAGACACTATTCCACGCGGATGGAGTCGCGGCAAAAGCTAGTTTACTATAAATATAGTCAATAGTAGTATCTATAAACTTTTTAAGTTGAAATTTAAAAGACATAGTTTCCAACATACAATTATTACACAGTTATCAATTAAAAATAGAATTACCTTTTTAGAAGTTGGTGTATTGACCTGCGATTATGGAGGGTACAACTTTTGACTCTGTAAACTCAATGGTTTAATAAATATTAAAAATGACAAACATGTAGGTTTTAAGGTTGGTTAGTTACAACAAAAGAACTAGTACAAAGCCTAAATACAATAAAACAAATTCATTGGACCGATATCACATCGTTCCTTTATAAACCGTTAGTCACAAAAATAAGGCAAGAGCAAAAAATATTAATTATATATGAAACTAAATTAAATTTAATGTTAAATATAAAGTACAAAATGAAAAAGTTTTAAATTGAGAGAATAATGTATCACTTAGAACAGAAACATCATATTAACCTTATTGTTAGAAAAACCTTTGTGGTCGTATTATTGTAACAAACACAAATAATAGTATATTAATGAAACACGACAAAACCTTAATGTTTTATATTTAAATTCATATGGAACTAAAAGCGGCGAGACTATATGTCGGACAGAGTACTTTTTTTACAGCAATTTAGATAAAAGTAATAAGCTACAAAGAGGATGACCGCCAAAACCGTCGTGGTTACATTAATAGTATATTTAGCTCTATCTGAAACCGACATCGGCGGACAGCCGGCTTCATTGCCAAATTATATATAACCTCCGCTAGGTGTGTTTTCACACCCCTTCTTCTTTTAAATTGTATATAAGAAGTTTTCAAATTATTTTATATATGTATGGTGTATTTTAAAGTACTACAAATAAAAATACACTTTGTCTGCCACTGCTTGTCACTGCCTTCAATATTTCAGTGCAAGTGTAAAAAAACAAATATGTGTTACATATTATTTATACGTATGTAAGTTGTATTTACAATCCGGCGTGTTTATTAGTTGGGTTCTTTTTTTATCTGTTTTGACATGTGAAATCTGTCTTAAATATTTTTCTGATAATAGTTATATAAATGCGATAGCAAAATAATATATAGCTACCTATATAAAAATATGTAGTTATGTAAAGGTGATAGCAAATTCCTTATAGTGTTACTATATAAACATATCAATCAAATATATAATAAACAACGAATTCCCTCGTGAGTGCATTCCCCTATTACTCTTCAATTATGTCCTAAATTACAATTATTTCATTTCCTAGATAGATCTTTTACGAGAGAACTATAAGGAAAACAAAAAAAAATTGTGTGCAATTGCTAGATCGTATTTAAAGTTCATTTACTATTTTGAAACACCAAAAAATAAAGGGATACCTCTGAAACATTGCTAATTTAACTTATTATTACGTAAATTTTTCTTTTCATGAAAAATTTCTTTCCCCCCACTCCTCCGAGGATCAAACATTCACCTTTTCAGAGAATCGATAAGGCGTCAGTTCAAATGAAATATATGATAGTTGTTGGACTTCCAATGAACAGGGATCACCATTCTACCACTTTTAAATTCTTAGACTTAGAATGTGTTTTGAAGGCAACAACCGTTATCCCAGCAGACAGGCCTTTGACGACTCCTATCAGTCTTCATACCTCAACGAGAGTGTGAGTGTGGTATTTAAATTTTATTGTACCTTAATACCGCTGATGAAGAACGATAATTGACGAGAAATTACTGTATAAACCTGTACAAACCATTGCGTTACAAACTGACGTTTACATTATCTTCTTACTTTCAGATCAGATCAGAACCAAGTATGATATGTGTATCCAGACGTTTTATAGTATTTAATGGTGGGGAGAAGGATGACATCAAACACGTTGCACCTTTTGAATCAAATAGTACTTACTGTATATGAAACAGCAATAATATAATATGTAAACATATAATTTAATAATAATAGAAGGTTATAAAATTTATCATGCACTTTTTGTTTTCCTTTTTTTAATCAGAGTGTTTTATGTGTAAAAACCTTGAAATGTACGTTTAATATAATTTGGTTATTCATGTTTCTTTTAAACACTTTATTATATGTTAAAATAAAGTATTTGTACTTTATATACTCTCAGTATATATGTACGCATTTTAAAAACTTTATGTAATAGTAGTTAAAATAATCGTAGGACCTATTTTGACAAAATGTTATATTCAGAACAAACGATATATCATAAAATAAGCTGTCATACAAAGCTTTGTTCTAATAGAACTTTAATGCCTCCAACCAAACAGAAATTTATGTAAAAAAATTATTGTTTACTAAATTATAATAAAAATATGGTTATTCATATGATACTTCTGGTGATATAGGATGTATTTAAAAATAGAAAGCGAAAATATTTAGAAGTATACTAAAAAATAAAACAAAACACAATTTTAATTCATTTGTGAAGTAGAGTCATTTTTCAGCACAGAATTGCCTATCATAACTGATAGTTATCGTCAAATTGTATAACACGTAAAAAACTAAAAAACACTAGCTGATATATAAAACAAGCTCTAGCCATATCCTAATATAAGTTAATAAAAGTCTTACGTACAAATAGGACAATATGACAACAGCAAATAAAATATAACTTTATATGTAATTCCTTTTTATTATTTTTCAATCTCTTTTTTTGTATTAAAACATTTTATTATCAATAAGGTCGTTGTTTTATTTAAAACACAATTCCAATATTATAATCAAATCTCATCTATCCAGTGCTTATAGAGAACACTTCTTGAGATTCTTCAAAGCATCTATCATAGCATCAACAATAGCATCAGCGATTTCTCTAGTACAATTGACTCCCATAATACCAATTCTCAGAGACTTGCCCGCTGTTGGACCCAAGCCCCCAAATAAGAGGATGTTATGGCTGAAAATGAATGATTATTGTAACATAGAATCTAGATGTCTTTGATATTTAAGTATAGGCAACAATATCAGTGTTAAAATAAAAAGTAGAATAAGAACATGATATACTTACTTATCTCGTATATATTTAACAAATTCTGTATAATCGTAGCCTTTTGGTAATTTCACCGTAGTAACTGTTGCCAAGCGGTCTTCAGCTTTAGGAATGAGCAGTTCAAAGCCATTCTGTTCCAACCGCTTACAGAAATGTGCAGCAATTGTTGCGTGTTGTTCCCAAAACACTGGAAGTGTACGTGTGCAGATTTCCTGAAGGCATCGTCGTAGTGCCCACATTAACGGTGGAGACATAGTGTGGTGATACCTGAAATATAAATTTGTATAAGACATACAATACAAATTTTTATTTTTTAAATTATTAATGTTGTTGTAAAAGAACAAGATCATACTAACAGTCGTGTATTTCCATGACAGTTCCATTGCTGTGCCAATAGCTTGATGTCGAAGTAAAATGGTGGTTGGTGTTTTCTGCTATTTATTTTCATCCTTTGAACATAAAATAGAAATTAAGTGGTAATAAAAACAAATTTTAGTATAGAATTCAATACAGAAACAAACACTTTATGACTAGCTCAATTTGTATTTTGCAATGTGCAATATATGAAATAAATGAAGTTCGTTAAAAATCGATTAGTTTAGTATATACAACTGAATTTAATGTATTTATAATGGATATTACAAAGATGGGATTATAAAAAATTTGCCACACGAATAGAACACATGGCTTTTTATAAGTGTATCCCACACCGTCCACTTAAACTGATGTTAGTAGCTTCTGCCCAAGTAGTTCTCTGGTTAAAATTGCTTCGCTGTCGCTAAATTCTTGGTATCTAATGGCATTAAGAAACTTTCAAATATCATGTCAAGGTTCGCTACTGAAGGTAATGCACCGGACGTGAATCTGATGAATATACAAATTTTTACAACCTCCGTACAAGTTACAATCATATTCCTAAGGAATTTAAAATCATATTTGACAGGAAGCCTTCTATTAGAGTTTATATGAGTATTTAGCACTATTGTGGAAGAAGTGAAGATATTTTAAAGTTATAGGGAGAAATTAAAGATGAAATACTAGATTGAACTCGATGCGAGATCACTGTAGATAATTTATAAAGGTATTTAGAGGATATAGGACATGTAGAAGAATAATATCTTATATTTAAGTATATGATATACATATCATTTAGGCCTGTTCATATGTCACAAAACACGTCTTCATAAATATTTTTTTATAAATTTTCTCATTTACATTAGCAAAGCAATAGTACTTACTCAGCTCTTTTGCTGAAAGCAACCGGTGATATTCCAGCTGGCCCGCTGAGAGCTTTTTGTGATGATGCATAGACTGCATCCACGCCCCAATCGTCCATGAAAAACGGCTCCCCACCTATAGATACCACTGTATCCACTATAAGCAGAGCTCCATATCTGCAGGAAAGATCATGCAATATATAAATCACTTACTTCCTTGTTAAATAAGAAATCTTAATAAAAGACTATGTGATAGGTTAAGTGTTTTAAATAAATAAAGATCATTAGCACTTTTTTAACAGATATGAAAATATATAATTCATGTGGTATTGAGTCAAATAACGGCTCTTGACTGCACATAATTCCTATAGTAAAAATTTTGAATAATATTGTTTTGAACATAATACGAGTATCACGGTAGTTGAATTTATGTGGAACTTTATAAATGTTGGTTCACAACTGACAACCTAGCTAATCTAGGTTTTAAATTTAAATATTAAAATTGATGCTTTTATATTAAAATCACTGACGTCGATTTCATTTTCTCTGTTTAATTTTGGAACCTTTTTAGTACAATAACCACATATTCAATTTCTAAAAGTAAATTAAATATAATCAGTCCAATTATTTCCTCCATCTATTTTAGTCTTTATCGGTTTTAAATTTTTCGTATTCTAATTAGCAGATGGAAATTACAATTTATAGTATATACATTTTTTGCCTGCTATACATCTCGCGCTATAATTTGAAATCCCTACTAATATTATAAATGCGAAAGTAACTCTGTCTGTCTGTCTGTCTGTCTGTCTGCTACGCTTTCACGCCTAAACCACTGAACTGATTTTAATGAAATTCGGTACAGAGATAGAGTTGACCTTGAGAAAGAACATAGGATAGTTTTTATCCCAGACTTTTAAAAGGTTCTCTTGGAAACGCGATATAACCGAACTCCACGCGGCGAAGCTGCGGGCGGAAAGCTAGTTCTAAATATTGAGCTAATATTGAAAACGAGGTATTAATGACCGATATAGAATAATGTGTTTTATTTTTCAGTTTCATATCTACGAACGAAAAAAGTATCATTTTCATCGTAATTCCTTAAAGCTATATCTATTACAGCTGGGGCATTTCACATGAAGCGGACAGGAAAAAAAAAGTGAGGTTTGGAAAATTGATCATATTGGGGCCATTTATACTTCTAGTAGGTATGAATATAAACACAGAATATTTTTTTTGTATAATGTATATTTTACAAGTTATGGGTATCTAAAGAATTGTCGTAATTGAAATATTAATTTTTATGAAGGCATTTTTTCGAATTAAATAATTTTACAATAAAGTATATATCATAGCGATACTTATCGGAAAAGACTGTTCTTTTTAACAATAAAAAAATAAAAAAAAATAGATTTTGTTTTCATGTCCAAAACCGGAAGTAAACTTTTCAAACTTGAATTTCATTCACTTCGACCATTTTTATTTTTTATTTTTTTTATTCAAAATATAGCTTAACATATACCAAAAATACCCTAAAAAAATTAAAATGGGATTTCTATTAGTTTAGGAGTTACATTGATATAAGTGCACACGCGTCGCAATCGGCGTGATGTCTGACGCTAGCTTAGATCGGCTGGTGTGCGTTAAACGTCATGTCTTGTATAACTGGTGTGGTAGAATAAATAAAACATCATAAAACATTATTGTAACAATGCAAGAACTAGTTTATTTTGTAATTTTTAATTTTGTAGATGAGTTATGCGACGCTTTGGAACTTTTGAGACCTCATTCTTACATTGCAGAGGAACAGGCGCTTTATGTAAAACTCTTAAGGAGACTATCGATGAAGGACAATTTGTCGTAGAATGTGATTTTTCAGAAAATTATAGTTTTGTTGTCCAAGATGCTGCCAAGATGTTGTCCAAGATTTTCAATGGAATACCGAATAAACAACACTTCTAACGTTGGTTTTTTACTATAGAGACGGTAGTGAAGTAAAGCACGGCAGCATCGTTATGATCTCTGACGACTTGATACATTATACAGTCACCTTCTAAACTTTTCAAAAGATACTACACAAACATCTTTTGGAAAAATCAATAGTTGGATCTAAAATAATATACATAACCGGCGGGGCTTCCAAACATTTAAAAAACAGATTCAACTTTGTGAATCTGTTTCATTACAAACGAGATTTTAATGCAGATGCAGAGTTGCATTTTCATGCAACGTCTCACGGGAAAGGGCCATGCGATGGTCTAGGAGGGAATCTCAAACGTTTAGCTGCGCGTGCGAGTCTACAGTAATCTTCGAGTAAAGTAATCGATTATACGTTTGGGCAAATTCATCTTCAAAACAAACAGCCATTTACTTCTGTTCTAAAGACGACATAGAACGACAGAGAAATTGTTTGCAACCTCGCTTTGAACCTACAGTCACGATTTCAGGAACCAAAAAGTTTCACAGCTTTATTTCAACAACCATGGCATTCTTGTGAAGAGGACCAGTTCTAGCAAAGATTTTAAAGTAGTAAAAATTACAAAATAAACTAGTTCTTGCATTGTTACAATAATGTTTTATGATGTTTTAATTATTCTACCACACCAGTTATACAAGACATGACGTTTAACGCACACCAGCCGATCTAAGCTAGCGTCAGACATCACGCCGATTGCGACGCGTGTGCACTTATATCAATGTAACTCCTAAACTAATAGAAATCCCATTTTAATTTTTTTAGGGTATTTTTGGTATATGTTAAGCTATATTTTGAATAAAAAAAATAAAAAATAAAAATGGTCGAAGTGAATGAAATTCAAGTTTGAAAAGTTTACTTCCGGTTTTGGACATGAAAACAAAATCTATTTTTTTTTATTTTTTTATTGTTAAAAAGAACAGTCTTTTCCGATAAGTATCGCTATGATATATACTTTATTGTAAAATTATTTAATTCGAAAAAATGCCTTCATAAAAATTAATATTTCAATTACGACAATTCTTTAGATACCCATAACTTGTAAAATATACATTATACAAAAAAAATATTCTGTGTTTACATTCACACCTACTAGAAGTATAAATGGTCCCAATATGATCAATTTTGAAAACCTCACTTTTTTTTCCTGTCCGCTTCACGTGAAATGCCCCAGCTATTAAATTATATCCTGTAAAGTTATATTTATTAAATGTTACATCAAATTAATAATTGTAAATCCTTAGGACACTAATAGCGACGACACAATATTACAATTAATATTCGACACAATTGTGTATAAATTTGTTTCTATAATATTAATTATCAACGCGTTTAAATAGTAATTGTATTTGATTATTATAAAAATATTTGGTTAATATAAAAGGCTTCAATGCAGTGCAAGCGCTTACAATTTTTTATGTTTAAATAAAAAACAAAAAAACCGCCATAAACTTTAACAATCATATCAATAGCACAGAATTCATATGTCTACAGAAGATATCTATTTCAACCTTTTGCATATTAGTTTATTTTGTTACATAATAAAATAGTACACTCGTATCTGTTTGATCGCCAGTGAAACAAAGAAACAATAGTCATCTAACAAACAACAAGTCCTTTCACACGGAGCCCGTGACTCTTTAAATCGTGTAGCAGCGTGACATTTTTACTAACAAGAACTCTCATTGAATAATGAAACGTTAACCCAGATAAAAAATATAGCTTTTATTATTCTCGCATCAAGTTTGATATTTAAAACATCCAATTAAAACAGAGGGTAACTTCTGTTTACTTAGCTAATGGATGTCTAGATTAAAAATAAACACTAAAGTCGTGTTGATATTGCGAAAAGCTTGCGTGTTAAAATTCTGGAATTTACCTTCAAGAGTTTTGTCGTCACACAATCACTCAATTGTAATGTGATACGTACATGCAATGCAAATTTATGGGCAAGAAAAATTAACAATGCAACAAAGAGATTTTATGAATAAATTTTTTCTTACAAAAAAAATAATATTTAAAATCTATTTATCAATAGTCTCATTTCTGCTCACCTATGACACAAATTTCCCAATCCCTTAAGATTTTGAACTGTACCCGTTGAAGAATCCCCATGAGTAATAAAGAGGGCTGTCGGTTTCAACTTCTGCAGCTCGACTTCAATCTGATCCAAATTGAATGTGGTGGTGAAAGGAATACGAGCTTCTACCGCATTAATGCCTGTAATTATTTAGCTTATTTTAACATTAAAATACTACTATGCTGAAGAGAAAAACACAACAATATGTCATCAAGTATGTATTTTTATTATTTCTGTATGACAAATTAATAACAATATACTGTACAAACCTTAAAGTTTAAGAGTCAGAATCTAAAGTCAAAAAACATGATCAAACCTTTCTTATTAGGTACTTTGTTTTAGTACAGGACAATAAATACCAATATAATTTTTCCTGCTATTTTGGTTTTGTCCAAGAGTTCTCCTGAATATTTTTAAAGAATGAATCGATTCTAAAATTGTAACAAGAAAAGCCTCTAAAAACAATTGCTATTCCAACTTACCATATCTCGTAGCCATATTTAAGGCTCTCTCGTCCCAAATACCTCTCCTAGCAATCAGCATCGTTTCCTTCGGTCCAACAAGATTAGATATGACGGTTTCCATCCCAGCGTGTCCAGAACCACTGATCGCTAATACCAAATCGCTTTGTGTTTGGAATAAATATTTTAGGCCGTTACGAATATCTTCCATAACCTGAAAAAACCGCATTCTTGACTATTTTAGTAACTTATTATTTATGAATACATATATTTTTATTTTGTTCACTTAATTTGTCAATGATATTGTTTTTGAAGATTTGTATTTTTCTCATAATTAAAAAGAATTTCGATTGACTTATATAAAAATAATTTTCAATTAGACCGTCAATTATATTGCATTAATTAATTGAGTTTTTGCTATTTTCCTCGAACCTGGATTGTTTATAGCCAATCATTATATTTAAATTGGTACTAACTAATTTAAACTTTTAAATTTTTATGTTAATTCAAACCGTAATATGAAGATCATAATTTAATCTACATTTAATATAAAATCAATATGTACTTTAAAATATTCATCGCACAACGGTGATAGGATAGGTTGAGTGAGAGCCTCATTAACTGATGGCCACAGATTACACGGACCAGGACCACACAGAAGAAGTTTTCTGATTTGACGATCATTTATCCTTGGCACTGGCACAGTAACTTTTTTGGATAACATCTTGTTAGGCTGAAATGCAATGATATGAATAGTTATCATTGACAATATATTATTTGGAGCAATTTTCCTTTGAAGAGTTCTGACACTCATAAAAACTACTGAACGAATACCATCCGATATTTTTAAATATATTCTTTCTGAGTTTTTGTGTTAATTTTTGTGGCAGATTTAAATTTAGTAGCCTTAGGTTATCATTGAATATGAATTGTAGTATAAACAATCAATTACAATCCTTTTTTTAATGGATTAGTTTATATTGAGACTAATCAGATGCTACTTAAATCATGTTACATAACCATAACGAAAATATGAAAGCAGCCTTTAATAAAGTAATTATATTTAAATAACTAATATGAATCAAAAACTTTCCTTTAGTGAAACAAAAATCCTTTAATTTTTAAATATGTAGTATATTTAATGATTCCTGTTCACATAAATAACTTTTTTGTATACCTTTCCAATATATTTTGTAATATGATTTTATTTATCAACTTCAATAAGTAAGAAGGAGGAAAATTTACTTTAAAAAGCAGATTAAAATATTGATCCGCTCCATAAATTATAGGTTTATGAAAGCAGATTTTTCATAAAATTTACTTGATAATATTACATTATAAGTTTCAACATAAAATTATTTTCGTATGATTAATTAATTATCTTTTATTAATCGAAACAAATAATGTTTTACAATATTGTCAAATTTAAAAACGAATTTTCCGCTTTGGTTTTTAAAAAAAATTAAATAAATAGACAAATAAACTTAATTGGTATAACAATATTTCTGAGTAACACAAAAATAAAATTTAAAAAATAGTAATAAAAATTGTTACCTGCTAAAAATGGCCTATTTAATCCAACTACACTTTTAGGAGTGATAATTAAGAATACGCATATAAATTTGATTGTTCTTAACTACACAATAATTTGACATATGTATATACAATTGTACCACATATGCTGATTTTTTATATCAATAAAATATTACATAAACAGTTCAAATTCATGTACACGTAATCAACAACGTTTAACGACTGGTTTAATATCACTGTGTATTTGTTAGTCTTATCGCTCTGTTTAGAAGTTTCATATACTTAGAAGTACAGATTTTATTAAACTTTGGTATAATGAAAGGCGTACAGTGGCCATATAAGCGAATTATCTCTAAATTATTTTATATTTATTAAATATTCTAATGGCAAACATTTATTAATAGATTATTTTATTATTTTTATTTGATCAACCATATATAATAAGATATCAAGATTTTAACCAAAGCCCTTTTTAGCTCCTATTTTTATTCCAGACTTGGCCAAGAGTATGAGGGTGTCGCATGGAAATATATTTTTCTCTGTTTGACCGATATTGCCGACGAATAAGCGTGAAGTTTGGTTACCGGAATCGGGTTAATGTTTAGATTTAGTGCTAATAGGGTGGTTGTAAATTTGCAGCAATGTTCTGGCGCTATCGGATGGCACATTTGGCAAGAACTCCGCGCCCGAGGCGAGCTTCGCTTGCCAGCCTTTGTGTACCGCTAACGTCGGATGGTAACCACTGCTTAACAATTGTTTTTATGAATAATTTAATAAGTAATCGATTTAATGATATCTAATAAAGCAAAGTAAGATTCAATTCTATTTCCTCATATTATGCGAGTGCTATCAAGCTCCAAACGTTATCAGTACTGATTACATGCTCTTATGACCTATGTAGCAAGTCATCAGTGTGAAAGTCAAGGAGATAAGACGTAACGAGATTGAAAGAGACAGATCGAACGAACACAATGTCGTCCCGACAAATTGATTCGATTCTCATCGTAACTGCGGATGTTGTCCCAGAGGATGGAGCCGGCAAGAAGACGATTCACAGAGACCTTAGTAAATAACACTTTGTCGATAAAGTTTTTTCTTTGTAGCAAAACGACGAAGCATTCATAAAATAAATATATTTTTTGCCAGAGTTATAAAAGTTTAAAATGTTATATTTGAATAATAAGATTGTATAAACAGTTTTATTTCTACTAAACGTTATAATTTTGCTAGGTTTTTGCAAAACATGAATGATTTGTCTTTTTTTTCATTTGTTATTTCAGTCAGTTACCATGATTATTGAAAAACTTCGTATTTGTAAACTCACTTTTACTTTTCAAGTCTTTTAATATATGTATAATTTTTTCGTTTATTTTAATATACTTCATAATGTAAAAATTTCGTCTTATCAAGTAATCGGTGTAAAGTTTATGCAATAAAAATAATAAACACATTGTAAACAGAACAAATTTATTAAACGATAATTTTACCAAATGATAAGACATTGACGTAAAAATATTAATTTTCATGTTAATACATAGAGGGTTCCATTGACAATATATTTTTTAGACATATTATTCCAGATAAACTTGCTAATAAGTCTTTTGGCTCCAAAATATTTCAATGATTATCAAAGAATGTATAAAACCTTTGAAAAGATTACGTTGAAACAGCAATGAATACCAGAAACATTAAAAAATCGTACTACTCATCTACTTCATTAATACAATCCTCTGGTTGATACTTTTTTATGTTCGATACTCGGTATTTTTGAATTTGGTTCATTATAAAGACCGGGTACGGAAATGTCTAGTTCTTTATCGTTTATTTTTTATTTTCGGAGACCACATTGATAGCTCATTTGGCTAGAATGAGATAGAATGAGGTAAATAGTAAATATTGTTATGAAAATAGTTACAGATTTCAAAATATTATTATCAAACACTCGTACAGTTATCAAATGAATAAATAAAATATGTATATTTTTTTTTATATTAGGTATTACCTAAATTTATTGCAATAGTTATTATGTTTTTCTTAACACCTATTATCATTATTATTAAAATAATTTTCTAAATTATAATAAGCCTTCTAACATCTGTATTTTTCGAAGCATTGTCGTAATATTTTTTTTTCTTCTTTTTCCAAAATTTAAGCATTTCTTGAAAAGTCTTTTAAGTTTAACTAAAGTAAAATGTAAATAATATAAAAAAACTCAATATCATTTCAATATAATAAAATATTTATGTCAAAACGTGAAAAGCACTTACTTTTCGCTATTTATGAAAAGAGTTAAATTTAAAAGTAGTTTCAAATATAAATCTAGTGATATAAATTGTTGTTAAAGAAATACATTACAAATTTTCTACTCTTAATCGATTAAGTTTCCAAAAAGTGTACCAATTGTATTCATAAGAAAGTGATAAGTTTACTTTTGCCGTCAAATTCAATTATTATGCCTTAGTACGAATTTGTTTGTAACAAAGTCGATTACCACCTTCAATCTGAAAGTGTTAATTCATCATATCATATATATCATAGATCTCGTTATTTATGTATCCATCTGTCTGACATATAAATAAAGAAAATATGTACATATTTTAACATCCAAGTTATAATTGTTGACTCCTATTAAATACTTTCAAGTAACAGACAAGTAATGTTTCAGAACTTTATTTGAAAGAAAATAGGTAGTCTTTGATTTTATTTCATGCATCCAAGAGTGAGATTTCATTAAAAAATTATATCATTTTTGTGCATTATATAAAAACAACGATTGAGAAGAATAAATTTATATAATCATCATAAATATAGATAACAAAAACAATAAAATATTATCCACAAGTAGCAATACTATCATCTTTACTAGGCTAAGAAAAAAATGACTACTACTACTACTATTTTATCTTCACATTTCCTTGAAGATCCGAACACACAGGCGACAATAATTAACAATTATTTCTTGATCCTGCTACAAAACTTCACGGAATTTCAAGATATAATACAGCCTTAATATTATATCTTATTATATCTTACTCTGATATATAAAATATTGCTGTAAACATTTTGAAAATTCTTTTAAGCGCTTTTTACTTAAAGGGTAACATGCATCTGTAAAATCTACTTAACTTTCGCTTTCATTATAAAAGTAAGATGTAATTTTTTTCATCCCGAAATATATTTAAGTACATATATGATAGGTTCACTTATATGCTCCTGTTCGTTTAGTATATATTCTAAGTCACAACCTAAAACTATTGCAATAATATTGCAATAAGATTAATAAGACCTCTTTTGTATAAAAACTTTTTCGTTAAAAGGTCGGATTAATTGACTCTTTATGTGCATACTTGTGATAACTCTTACATTAACGATATATACTCACTCTCGTCATACTAATGGTGCGATAAAACTAAATGCATCGTCATTAATTATCTTATTTGAATGAGGTTAAGTGGTCATTGATAAAAGGTTTCCATTTCAGAAAGTGTTTCAAATAATCTAAATAGGTATATCTTTAATATAAACAATTTGTAGTTAGGTAATTTTCCAGCGATTAACTTTTTGCGAAACTTTGTAATCTTATCAAACCTTTTTGGCCTATTTCTATAAAAATCCTATTTTTTCAATTACACAGGTAAGAAAGTTACCCATAAATTTATATACCTCTTAGTATTAGAA